AAGAACGATGCTGTCTTTTGTAAAAAATAATTATCAAAATTTAGAATTAGCGTAGATACCATGTGATATGTGGACTGTAAGACAAATGAAAACCTCTTAAAAATAATAATTTATTTGCTAGGAACATAGTTATAAAAATATTTTTATGTTATAGTTACATAATAAGATGTTACGATTTGTTTTTTAATGTTCAAAAATAAATATGGACACAATTTTACTTATGACAGAAATTAAAAAAAAAATTATACTATACCTAACAAACTTGCTTTTAAAAAAAAAACTTTTTTGCTTTTCCCCTGGGTGTCGAAAGGGTAAAATAAGTAAAAGAGAGAACAACTATTTTGAAGTCGGTTGAAAACAAGACTATACTTACGGCAACAGTGCATTTTCCAATAAATATCTTAAGGCCTTGTAGGTACGCGTCTGCGCCGGCTCGCGCGCCATGCTGAACTCGTTGTCCAATATTATGACGTTGCAAGCTTCGCCATCTACATTAAAAATGGAAAGGGATTGTTAGTAATGGGATCTAATTGATCCATTGCTAGCAATACACCCTATCAGGTCGACCTGGTGAATTATGGCGTGAATTTACAGGGTACAGAGAAATAACATCTGAGTCCTCAGGAATGGCAACGCATGGGGGTATCATGGGCGAAACAGTATACTCTGTTATATACATGGTACTGCTCATGTCTATAGGCGATAGTTACCATTTTCCATCAGGTGGGCCATCAGCTTGTTTGCCATCTAAGTTGTATAAAAAAAAAGAAAAAAAAAAAACCTCCACGCGGTTCTTCCTGGAAACCGTCGTGGTTAATTCCAGTGGAATTTGTCACGATGGGCTAACTGACCTGCAGTTTTATCTTCACCTGTCATTCCTCACTGGTATCCTGCCAGCCTATCCCGTTAGCGCAGGCGGGGTACCAGTGTCATCATTCCATTAAAACCCATAAAAAATACATTAAAAATATGTTGTAATAATGATAAATAAAAGTCACTGTCAAGTCAAGACGAGTCAAATCAATAATTTATTTGCATAAACATATGTATTTAGTTACATAAATAACAACTGAGTCCTCAGGAATGGCAACGCATGGGGGTATCATGGGCGAAACAGTTATGTCTGTTATGTCCATGGTACTGCTCATGTCTATAGGCGACGGTTACGACTTTCCATCAGGTGGGTCATTAGCTTGTTTGCCATTCTATATTGCATAGAAAAAAGCAAATTGTCAGCGATATAGATGTGAATTTTTTTTTTATTATTTCACTTTATATGTAGCGAAGCATGTACCGGGCCGCTATTATTATATATAAAAAAAACCCAAACTAGTACAAATAAACTCATGAATATAAATATTTATATTGTACGGGGATTGAACCCGCGGCCATTGGATGGTAAAGCAACTAGTCTACCAAGGGCAGGGGGATCATAAATTGTTATCAGGTCGACCTCCTCGCGGTCCCCCCTGGAAACTATCGTGTTCTATTTAAAGTGAATCCATCCCGACAGGCTAACTGGCCTGCCTTTTCATTGTCACCTATTATCCCTCACTGGTGCCCCGAATATGACAGTGTATACTGACAGCGTGGACGGGGTTACCATTGCATTATCATTAATTTAAAAAAATACCAAGGTCATCTCGTATACATTGTTTAACTGACCTTGTCCGATGGTAGGGCAGACGGAGAGCGGCAGCCGCCAGCGCGCCGGGGACAGCAGGGCCCGCAGCGCCGCGTCGCCGGCCAGCACGGCGGCGCCCCCCGCAGCGGCGGCCCAGTGTGCCAGGGAAGTGTGCACCTCGCGCAGCGGCAGCATGCTTGGCGAGTCCTCGTCTAGTCAACACAGGATATACGTGTCAACATTTATATCTTTACAGTACACATTTTGTTAGTAATGCTACTATTACATGTTTCAACTAGCAATAATCGCACCTCGGATTAACCTCATTGGTTACGATATATATATATATATATTTTTTTAAGGGTGATAATAGAATGGTAACCCCACCCTCGCTATCGGTATACACCGGCGGCACCAGTGAGAGATAATAGGTGATAATGAAGCAGGTCAGTTAGCCCATCGTGATGAATTCAACAAGAATTATTCACGATGGTTTCCAGGGACGTGGAGGTCGACCTAATAAGGCATATTGCTAGCATTGGGGCTGTCAAACTCCATTGTCTGGATCAATTAATTCATCGTCAAGCTATATTATTATAACTAGCGGCCCGTCCCAACGTCGCACGGGTGGCCATTTTTCAACATTTCCCTTCACTGCTCTGCTCCTATTGATCGTAGCGTGATGAAAAGTATACTATAACCTGCCCAGGAGTATGAAGAATAATTGTATCAAGTTTCATTAAAATCCGTCGAGTAGTTTTTGTTTCTATAACGAACATACAGGCAGATAGACAAAAATTTTACTGATTGCATTGTTGGCATCAGTATCGATCACTAATCACCGCCTGATAGTTATTTTGGGAATATATTTCATGTACAGAATTGACCTCTCTACAGATTTATTATAAGTATAGATATAGATTAATAGTTATAATTCTATTATAATATTAAGATCTATACAGAATAAAATGTCTGGCTAGTTTTAAAACAAAACTTAAGGATTTTTATTTGACCAAGTTGCCACCTTCTTGTTTTAACGCTTTTAAAGCTGTAACTGTCACCTATAGACATGAGCAGTATCATGGACATATCAGAGTATACTGTTTCGCCCATGATACCCCCCATGCGTTGCTATTCCTAAGGACTCAGGTGTTATTCCTCTGTACTCAGTAAACTCACGCCATATCCCACCCTTCAAACCGAAACACAGCCATGCAAACACAACTGCTTCACGGTTAAAACACGAATGGGACAGAGGTACCCAAGCAATCGACTTTTGTACAAAGTCTCCCTCTGGTTATAGGTCTGATCATCATACTTATTTTATTATTTAGAATTAATAGAATTTTTCATCGTGCCTCCCACCAAATTGTTTATAATTACTCCTCTCCATCCAAAGGTTGCCTGGAAGAGATCGCTCTTAGCGATAAGGTCGTCCATTGTTTCCTCATTGTGATTATTTCTTTTAATTATTTATATTTATAATAAGTTTACTATTGTAATCTTTTGGAGGAAACAATGTATCTATCTATACAGACAATAAAAATGCGTTCATACTTGGCAGTATAAATCTGTATGGATGCTTGTTACAAGGCTCCGGCACTGGACACGGCTTCAATACAACAGTTTTCTTGTGTAACAATTTTGAATACTCGAGTAGTGGCAGCTCTGTAATGTTCACCTGCAAGAAACCAAAACATGTTTTATTCTTACTTTGACAAATTGAGGGGCGACTCTAAATTGTGACAACGTAAAAAAAAGAATGAGCATCATTCTGGTAAAATTAAAAATGTGTAATGATTCTATTATATATATAATTTTATTATTATTCTTATATTTGTTACTAAATCTCACATAAAAGACTAAATTAATTTGAATGAAATTTGGCACACCAATTGATCCAGGATCTATCTGTTATTATTTATCAGTTTTACCCATGTGAACTAAATCATATCAGCCGTTAACTTTCCACTGTTGAATGTAGGTCTCACTCCTAAGGAGTTGGGGGATTGGGTTGTCAAGAGTTTTCACATTTGGCAGGCAGGTTGACAACTGCAGCTAGGCTTTGGAGTTGTTCAAGAGGGACACTGCTGCCCAACCTTCAACCATTAAGTTCCCTTAGTCTCATCTCCAAGGACCTTTATGGGAAAGAAGGGGTAACCATTTTAAGCTAAGACCACACTGTAATCTATATAATAAAAATGGATCGCTGAATGTGTTGCTAAGTACAAGTCTTGAGAACAGCTGTACCGATTTCACTAATTCTTTTTTTAGAATATTCCTTGAAGTACGAGGATGGTTTTTACGACAAAAATTTAATAAATAGTTTGAAAAGTCTAAAAACAACACTTTCCTATACTCCCACACAAACGATTCGTAATAATACATAAAAGTCAATTTTAATACCATACCATAAGGTTCAAGTGTTAGTGGAGAGGTTCCGGTAAGGTAAAACAATTGAGTGATGTTAGTATCGAATAAATCTAGCTGACCCGGCGTCCCGAATAGCAGAATAAGTATTAAAAAAAAAAAACAAAAAAAATTGAAGATTCGACCGTTAGGCGGTGCGAAATTCGTGGGATCAGCTAGTAGCTAATAATAATGTTCATCAGTAATCGAAATCTATTTTTTATAAGATACAGTAAACTTACACTTTTTAAATCTTTATCAAAAATCATATTGCATTTATGGTTCTTTGCTTCGAGAGGGATTTGAGCGACCATCTCATATTCCTTCGGAAAGGACTGTAGTTCGTGAGCTTTCAATTTGTATTCGGCTTCGTACACCATTTCTATGGGCGGTTTGGGGCGTAATGCTCGCGAGCAGTGGTTGTTGGTCCATTGCGTTTTGGTCCATTCCAAATATTCTTTCTGTTCTTTTGCATATGCCTCTTGTAATTCCTGTGAATAAATAATTTTGACCTACATGACACACTGGGGATGAATGAGTGAATTTTAAACATAACATTTGGAATAATTTGATTGAATTTTAAATGTTTTACAGATATAAAAGACTGTAATATGTGTTATGTAGGACTAGTATTATCAGCAACCTAAATATTTTATTAATAATAGATAGATAGATAGATAGATACTCTTTATTGTTTCCTCCAAAAGATTACAATAGTAAACTTATTATAAATATAAATAATTACAAGAAATAATCACAATGAGAAAACAATGGGCGACCTTATCGCTAAGAGCGATCTTTTCCAGGCAACCTTTGGATGGAGAGCTGTAATACTTTATTGTATTATACTGTTTACTATATATCTATCTTTTTATTGTATGGATAATTTGGTAGTATTGTTTTATTGTTACCCTATTCCCTTTGGCCGCAACAGAATATCAGTGCTTCGCTCTTTTGAGGGCGAAGCAATAAACTGAGTTGTGGCCATTTTGTATTGCTATGGCACACTCACAAACGAAAATTGTATTTAGCTTTATGTATTTTTTTTTTTAATAATTTATGTTATCTCGCTATTTTTGTATATGTATGTTGTAATTTGTGTGCTGTAAGTAAATAATGCAAATAATCTATCTATTTATCTATTGTAGTTTGTATTCACTCGAATTTATAAAATTCAAGTTTTCGAAAAAAGTAACAGCTGAGTTTCACTAAGAAGAATGAGCAAGAACCCTTTCTTCTTAGTAAAAATTGCATTCCAAATAAGTGGTAGATTTATAAAATGACTATTGTAAATAAATTTAAGTTTACTTGAATAACAATTTCTTTTTTTCTTAATATTTTATTTTAGAATGGTGGTTGGTTGGTAACAACCACTAAATGCACTTTAGTTGTTGAACTATTGTGTTTTTTTTATGACCTATTTTCATAGACGAAAGTAATAATACATTCTAGTAGTCACAATAGTTTTATATGAGGTTTTAATTATTACGAATAAAGCAGTAATTTTTTAAATTTATAACAAATTGAATTATTTAAGATTTTGTTCTTCAAGCAGCTTCAATTAGACAAAGAACTATTGCCCCTATTAAGATTGTTCCATCTTTTACCTACAAGCAAGAATATGTAATATATTTGACTTAAACAATTTTATTTGTTTATGGACCATTAAATTCTTATCCCCTTATTCATAAAACGTCAAACCTCTCATTAATCTATTTTAGCTTTTAAACTGTTTTGTCTCTTTCTTTTGTACTAAATTCCCAATTTGAAAGAAAGTGACAAAAGTGTAATAGATTTGCGTAAAAGAAAATAAATAAACTCACTTGGCAAACCTTGTAATCTTGTTTGGTAGGTCTCGGTATGAACTGTTCGTCCAATACGTGAGGGTATTGTGAACATAACACTTTGAGGCACTGGTAGTGCTGATGGGCTGTGAGTGCAGACAATTTTGGGTATGGTGGTATGGGTCGTATTCCTGGAACGTACAAGCGCGACTGGCGCTCCTCCTGACAAAGAAACATCAAGAATGAATAGTATATACTTTTCTGTCTTTTTTTTTATACAACTTAGAATGGCAAACAAGCTGACAACCCACCTGATGGAAAGTGGTAACCGTCGCCTATAGACATGAGCAGTACCATGGACATAACAGAGTATACTGTTTCGCCATTGATACCCCTCATGCACTGCCATTCCTGAGGACTCAGGTGTTATTCCTCTGTACCCCAGTAAATGTAGTTTGTACATAGAATGGCAAATTCTATGTTAAAATAGATTTGAATTGAATTTGATATACAGATAGATTATATTCAAACTTAGCACATAGTTCACACAGGCAAAGCCCAATACAACTATATTTATTTATTTACAAGAAACATAGTAAGTATATAAAAGCTAACAATAGGTATAAGTCCTCATATTTCACCATAATTAGGTTTTCTATTATCATATATTATAATTAATTGTCTATAAAATGAAACAAAACTTACAAAATTTTTTCTTTTAAATATTTGATCCCAGTCAAACCGAATACTCGACTGGCCTTCATCCTCGGAGTCGCTGGAAATCAGTGGGTCACGGAATTTGTTACGCAGTATTCTTTCCGTCACACAGTTGTCCACATCATCCTCTGTTATGAATTGAAAGTCCCGTTGTGATGAACACCTACATAATCAAGACAGTAAATGAAAAGATCCTTATATTTTTATGCACATTAGAATGGCAAACGAGCTGACAGGCCACCTGATGGAAAGTAGTAACCGTCGCCTATAGACATGACCTATGACATAACAGAGTATACTGTTTCGCCCATGATACCCCCATATGTTACCATTCCTAAGGACGCGGGTGTTATTCCTCTGTACCCTGTAAATTCACTGTCATATCCCACCCTTCAAGCCGAAACACAGCCATGTAAACACAACTGCTTCACAGTAAAAACACGAATGAGAGGAGGTACCCAAACAAACGAATTTTGTACAAAGTCTCCCTCTGGTCACCTATTAATTAACATCCATTGTAACATTATGGGTTGCAAATAAACAGATATAAAATATATATTTTAATGGATGATGATGGAATTGCTGCCCCACAAATATTATTGGTTGAGGGAAAAAGATTGTTAATATTGGGGTCTAACACCCTATCAGGCTGACCTCCATGCCGTTCACTCTGGAAATCCTATCATGGTTAATTCTCATGAAATATGTTACAATGAGCTAACTGATCTGCTTTTATTATCAACTATCATGCCTCACTGTGTGCCCGCATATATTTATAGCACAGGTGGTGTTACATTTGCATTCACACCCATTAAAAAAAAAAAAAAATTTACACTGGCGATATGTTGGTGAGAGATGATAGGTGAGAATGAAGTGCTATTTATTAGACCACTGAAATGAATCCAGTTTAAATTAACCTTCTAGTGATAGTAAAGAGGTTGTCCAGCTATCAATAGGAAAATCAGACCCTAATTTACTAATTAGATTATTAATAATCTCTTTGGCCTCCCTATTTTAGGTATTATACATTTTTTTACAACACAGTGGGCAAAAGAGCATGAGGCTCACTTAATGGTAAGTGACAACTGCCGCCCATGGGGGAAAGGGATTGTTAGTAATGGAGACTGAGAATCCTATTGCTAGCAATATACCCTGTCAGGTCGACCTCCACGTGGTTCCCTCTGGAAACCATCGTGACTAATTCTAGTTAAAGTTTAATTCGTCAGTATGGGCTAACTAACCTATTTTCATCTTCATCTGTCATCCCTCACTGGTGCCTCACCAGTGTATACCAATAGCGCAGACGGGGTTACCATACCATTATCACCCATTAAAAAAAAACCGCCGTCCATGATCATCATGTATAGATAGAATACAAGAATACAGTGTGTGTACACATTTTTTTCATTCTTAGGATACAGTAATGGATTGTTAACTATAGAACTAAATAATTTAAGGGGTTGTTACAAGTTTAATTATTATTGGAATAAATAAATAAACAACAAATAATATTTCCAATGACATCCATAAAACGAAAAATAAAATCATCCTACCTTCTAAATAGCAATTATGTTTTTTCAAATATTAAATACTGACATTTAAAAATGTATAGATATACACATTAATATGAATTTAGAAATACTTAGGTATATTTTTATCTAGATAAATTAATTATTATAACAAAGGAATCTTTCAGAAAACAAAATAAAAAAAAAAAATATTGTACTTACCAGTCGAATTGCCGAATATGTTCCATGAGAGATTAAGGCATTAACTGCGTTTGTACTATTGTAAATAAACAAAAAAATATATTAATTTTTTATTTAGTTCTTATTACTTTGTGGAATTTTTGTTTTATTTTTTCCTCTTTGTTGAATAACAATTTAATAAAATGTAAAACACATAATACTAGGCAATCATTTTTTTTTTTTTTTAGTACGTTTGTTCCGTTTGGAACAGGCTAAGGTCGGAGACCATGCTGCCTAGTCTTCAAAAAGATAATTTGTCTGGAATTAGGCAATCAAACTTCATGTCAAATAGATATTGACAACACGTGACATTTCAAGACAGTTTGACATTAGTTGACAACCTGATATGTTAGTTATGGTCGTCGTAAACGATCAATAGCATGACACCATTTACCTATTTTTTATGAAGTGATAATGGAATGGTAACTCCGCTTGATAGCATCAAAATACACTAAGGAGTGAGGAATGATAAATGTAAATAAAATTAGGTCATTTAACCTATCATGACGAATTCATCAATATTAGTTAATTATGATAGTTTCCAGGTAAAACTGCGTGAAGGTCAACCTGATAGGGTATAGCAGCAGAGCTGCTAGAGGAGGAAAGAAATTATTGGTGATGGGTATATTTCTAGTGATGGGACTCTTAAACCCCATTATTAACAAACCGTTATCCCCTTATATAACTGTTGTAAGATAAATAAGATGGAGGAGATTTATTTTTATTTTATGAATGGCAACTTTATTTGACTAAATATCTGATTAATAAATAACTCATAAAATGCTAAATATTCGATAGCGAGTTTTAAAATTAGTGTACAGTAAAAAATATGGAGATATATGTTCCATTTATATCACATATTTTGACATTCGCAATGAGAATCAAAACCTATAGAATAGTTCCCGTTGACCTAGAATCATTAAATTTGGCAACAAGTAGTGTCATATAGCGCAAGTAAAGGACAAAATACATAAACTGTAAATTTGAATTAATTTAAAAAAAAATTAATGTGATGATTTTGTACGGAACCGTAGTTGCGCGAATCTGACTCGCACTTGACCGCATTTTTTTTATACATTAGCAAGGGGTTAATTTGTCCAATATGCTACCAATAACAGATAGAAAACAGGATGGGAAATAATGAATTAGGAATTTAGTACCGTAGAAAGGGGCTATTTGCAAGTCGTGGGGTTAAATGGAATTTCTTAAATAAAAGATTTGATTATCTACGTATATTTTTTAATTTAGCAATGAGTAGAATATTTGTTGTCACCTGGTAACACAACGACTATTGTAAATTTTTTTAAAATTTTTGAGGTTATAGTTAAGCATTACACGACGCAGCAAGTGTTTAAAAAAAAAAAAGAATTTTCGCTCTTTTTCGTAAGTATTTAACTTTCGTCTGACGCATGAAACGTAGAAAGGTAGGAAAAAGGCGGGAAACTCGAATAAGAACAAGCGGGTTTTTTAAATTTTTTTTATTAATTTATTAAAACTATCTCTATCAATTCTTATTATTGAATAAAATATTATATTTTCACTAAATTCAGCGACAGTAATATAATTAGCATTCATGGGGAAGCGCAGTTGTAGAAAAAGGAAAAAAAAAGATGACGATTCAGGTGATGTAGACCATGAACCTTGTAATGACAAGGATATATATTCGGAAGATACTTCTACTGACTCAGAATCTGAAATTGATAAGGCCGATAAGTATAAACCTTACTACGTCACAGATTATATTAGAAGATATCCCGAGGAATCCCCTGGGACAGAATTTGTTGTCTTTGTAGAATCCTCAGATAGTCAGAAAACCATTGGATCCAGAGACTTGCTCTCACTCTCCTCCTGTTTAAAACGATTTAATAAAGGGGTAACTTATCTTAGATCTATAAATAAATTCAAAATCGGAGTATACTTTCAAAAGCCAGACTTAGCCAATGCTTTTTTAAATAATAAAACTTTTTTAAATGACTACCATTTTAAGGCCAGTATTCCTGCTTCTTCAACAGAAGTTACAGGCGTTATTAGAAATGTACCTACAAATATATCTAATAAAAAAATATATACTATGATATCGAGTTCTAAGAAAATTATTGCTATTAAAAGAATTTTAAGAAAAATACCTTGACTCATGGATATGTGTTACAGCCAACTCTAACCGTGACAATTACTTTTGCTGCATCTGTATTACCTGAATATCTGGATATTGGAGGTTGGCGCCACAATGTCACTCCATATATACCACCAGTTAAACAATGCTACCGGTGCTTGAGGTATGGACATTTAGCTAAATTCTGTAAGAATTCTGAGCGTTGCAGCATCTGCAAAGGTGAGCATAATTATAAAACTTGTACAACTGGAATGGAAAACGCTATTTGTGTACACTGCAATGGAAATCACACAAGTGTATCACCGCAATGCCCTGTTAAACAAAAGAAAATTGCTGAAAATAGATCTAAATTCAGACCTGCTTCTTTTGGAGATATACTTAGCACTGAAATATTTCCTAAACTGGGTAACAAACCTAAAAAAAATGTAGACCTAATTTCAATTCTAAATTCTGATAACAAGAGTTTATCACTTTTAATAGAAAGCATAATCAAACTTATTTCACTACATAACACAAAGAACACATCTATTAACACTAAAAGTGTTTTGAATGTGTTATATGATACTTTTGGTAATAGACCTATTTCACAAAATTCAATCGAGACCAATTAACTATCATACAGTGGAACGCTCAGAGCCTACTGAGCAATCGACATATTTTTACACAATTTTTAAATGAACATCATATTCACATTGCTCTCATCTCAGAAACTTGGCTAAAACCACATTACAAATTAAAAATTAAAGATTATTGTATAGAACGAAATGATTGTGGTAATAACCACAATGGAGTAGCGATTATTATACATAATAGTATTAGATATAAAAAACTTCACTCTTTTTTCGACAATTCTTTGCAAACTATAGCTATTAGTATTGAAGTTAATAATTCTTGGTATTCAGTTGCCAGTATTTACTGTCCTACCAATAGTACACCTAGTTTTACTAAAGCCAAATTTAAGTTCTTTTTGGAGTCTCTTCCTAAACCCACTATCATATCTGGAGATTTAAATGCACATCATACTATGTGGGGTTGTACCTCCACTAATACAAGAGGTAAAGACATTCTTGATTGTTTAGATGAATGTAATTTGGTACTATTAAATGATAAGCAAGTTACTACTGTTGGCTCTCATATTTGGAGACCCAATGGCCTTGATTTAACTATGGTATCCCCATCCATATCATTAAAATGCGAGTGGTCGGTTCATGATGATCCGTTAGGAAGTTATCACCTGCCGATAGAGATGGGCAATCCACCTGGGTGGGTTTAAAGTCTGGTGGGTAAAAACCGGGTGTTTTGGGTTTATTGGGTTTAAACCCCATAAACACCCAAATTTTTGGGTGTTTATGATTTTGTACTTCATCATCGTCATCTCAGCCGCAAGACGTCCACTATACTGGACATAGACAATATTATTATGCAGCCTACAGAATAAAAAACTTTTAATTTGATTTTGAGTTTATTAAGAAAGAGATGAAAGTAAAATGTAAAACTACAGTCAATCACTGTCAGATTCAGAGTTATTACAAGCGATGAATTGTATAGGTTCGATAGGCTCTATTTCGTCTAAACTGTTATGTTCATTTACTTGCTCAATGAAAGCTTCTAAGGTATTTTCTTCATTAAACTGAATGTCCTCGAATTCAGCTTTATGTTTAAGATTCCAGTTATAACAAATGAATGAAATTTTTTCAGTTCTTTCAGTTGTAAGTCGATTTCTTTTGTTATTATGTATGTAGCCTTGGATACTAAAGGAACGCTCAGTGGCTGCCGAAGTACAGGGAGCTGATAGAATACGAATCGCTACTTTGCTTAACTCAGTGGAACCACAAATACCTTTCCACCATATTAGGGGCTCAATGCTATCTAATGAGCTCCATACAAATCCTCTGGCCCAAAAGTTTTCTTTAGCTTTATAACACGCCAAATCTGCCATTACATTTGACAAACTTAAGTGTTGGCTTAAATTGTAGATAAACTCCATACCCTTAAGTTCTTCCTCTTGAGTAAGTTCGACTCCTAGAGTCCTGGGGTCTAGAATATATGCTGCAAAATGTATTGGCCTCATTGCCATATTGCATCTTGAAGATACTGATGTTAGAATCTGCTGTTTGCTTTCTTCGCTCAATGTCGAAATCTCATTTAATGCAAAACGTATCTTAGCTTGTACATCTCTAAATGTAATGTATGTGCGATGCAAACGATTCTGGTCGCTCTCTAAGTAAAATATGCTTTCAGTGACTGGTTCCAAAATACTTATACATTCCCCTGTCTTCGTCCAGAAATCATCACTTAGAATTAAATCTTTAATATCTCTTGAAATTACCACATCTTCTCTAACTGTTAATATTTGCAAAGCTATCTTATTTGCTTTCAAACTTTTTAACGAAGTAACATGACTTCCCCATCTTGTAGCACAAGGCAATTTTAGTGTTTGTGTAGAATCTTCACCCTGCCTTGATTTTATCAACAAGGAACTTAATCGTTGACTCCTTTTAACAGTTTTTATTATATTTATGGCTTGCATAATAAACACAGTTACTTCTTATATCTTTACAATATCTTGGCACAACAAGTTAAGGATATGTGCACAGCAACCGAGAGGAACAACATGTGGATATTTGAGTTTTGTTAATTCGAATGCCTTTTGTATATTTCTAGCGTTATCGCCAATAAGTACAAGAAACTTATTTGCTCCATACACTTTCATTACTTTTTCAACTTCTTGGCTAAGGTATTCACTAGTGTGAGGATTACTTTCTGTATTCAAACTTTTAACGTATGCAGGTTGAGGTTTTGATATAAGAAAGTTTATTATTCCTTCATTTCTTAAATTAGACCAGCCATCGCACTGAAGGTGTAAGTAACTACAAGCATTTAGTTCCTCATTTAACTCAAAACGCATTTCTCTATATATTTTATCTAAGTATTTTGTCGCTAAAGCTTTACGTGAAGGTATTTTAAATTTTGGTTGCAATTTTTCGAAAAATTGTATCCATAAAGGATGTTGCACCATCGATAATGGCGTCCCTGTTACAAATATAGCTCTCGCTAATTCTGTTTTTATATGATCATCGGTGTCTTGAAACTCAGCATTTATTGTAGTGTTAGCAGACGACGAGGGGCTTATAAAAGAATCATTTGTCTCTATCTCTGACAGTCCAGACATTTTGGTTTTGGACGAGCTATCTTTTATAAGTTTCATAGAGTCTTTTAATGTTTCTGGAGATTTTGGACAAGTGATAAGATGTTGAAGCATTTTGGCAGCATTACTGAATTTGTAGACCTTATTACAAAGCTTGCAAGAAACAGACTTGTTTGGTAAAGTACGGTAGTGCTCCCATATGCGTAAATCTTTAGGTCTCCCCATTGAACCTAAAAAAATGAACGATGATTAGTTGGTCTGACGAAAATTCAACAATAGAGTGCCTATTTTTTTACAATGATTATTTCTTGTTATTTACAATAAATTTATTAAAAAAATAATAAAATAAATACAAAAAACCTTTGTAAAATTACATCTCCTCGGAGGATTAAACGCAGACGCTAGTTTATTATCGTATTGTTCTGTATTTTTCTCAGCAACTTCTTTAATTCGATTAGGTACTTACGCATATTATGTTAAAAATAAATATCTAGTACACATCTTAGGCTATCCACCATTATTATCCAATGACGACTCTCAGCTAACTATGCACTATCATCCAAAATAAACGTGTATGGAAAATTTTATCCCAGTCGGTTGAGGATTGAGGATAATTGCATCAACATACGAACATACCTACATACTTTTATTTACATAACGCAAGCTAAATAAAAGCTTGTAATAATACATCTAATTTTAAGTTAAAATTGTTAAGTGATCATGATATAATTGTATCATTCAAAAATCCACTTACCTTTAATTATTTCTTGTTAAGTATAAATATTATTTCAAATCTGCTCCCTTAATATGCACTTTTTTACTGCTTTTCCTACCTAACACGTTACCAGGAAGTCACGTTACCAGAGTCAGAGTAATAGTGAACACGTTTGACAGTGATTGTCGTCGCCTCATATTCAGCGTCGACGAATAGGGGAATCCCCAGTCATAATGTATTGCATGCGTGGCGGTCTTACTTCAAATCCATAAACAAAGAGATAATTACAGAACTCAATACTAGATGGCGCTGTTTTTGTTTGAAGAAAGTTTGCGGGCTAAAATACATAGAATTTCATCAATGACTTCCACAAAGAACAACATTTCTGTTTTTTCTAAGTCCGTATCTCTTCCGTATATTTCATAAGATATAAGCTTGGGCTACATTGTTATGCAACGTGATTTTGTCGCTGTCTTGCTAGCAGGGTTGACAGATATACGATTTAAATCGTACTCATACTATTATTTGTCTATTTTTTAATGTACGATCGTAAAGATTATGATCGTAATTCGCACATAAACATACGACTTTTTGGTTACCTGGCAACATTTTTATTATGAAACGAACATGCTCACATCATCAGTCACATGCAACAATTTATTGGGGATTTCCCCTTCACATCTGGCAGTCCTGCTTGCTAGAATATAGGTAAGTCAGCCACAGTTACTGACCTTCGATATTTAAAGGGTATTGTTTTTGTGCTAAATATTTCATAAAAACGTTATTTAATACTTTGTGGATTATTAATTTAGTTGATAATCACTGGAAGTAAAATGGATGCTAATTTGAGAGATCAAGATCTTCGTATAAAACAGTTAATAAAAGAAAATCTACGTAAGTACTCTTTTTATACCTAGGTAGGTAAGGTATAATAAACACAAAAGGTACTTAGATCGCGTGTGTTCGAAGCATTTATTCTAATAAATTTAATTTAAAATTGTAGAAAGAAAAAAATGTCTGCCAAGCCGTAGCCGAAGCCGATCTCCAAATATATTTGGCGATAGTGAGACCCAGTGTCCAGATGATTTACCCAGCGTCGTCGCAACAAAGAAAAAAAACGAGGATAAAGTAAAAGAAAATTTACTGAAAGAAGAAACAAACTGTTCTAAATGCTTAATTTATCGAGAAGAGGATAAAAGAAATGAGTATTTCGGACTGTTAGTGGCTCAAGAATTTAAATATATACGGCCATGTGTGCGAACGAGGTGTTATGAAGAAATTTTAAAGTATCTACGGGAAGCAAAAGGCCGACATGTTGATCAACTGCAACATGAAAACACTGAAAATT